GGTGGTAAGTGTTTTACAGTGCTCGCAACAGCATATACGGTCATATGAGCGCGCGGGACACATTAACCATTTCAGTTGGTTGGAAATTTTGAATTTTGCCCGGGTGGCGGCCGAAGCCTACTTTTATCGATTTTAGACCATCAATGGATCTTAAACTAGCGCAACTTGCACATGGGGGACCTCCGATATTTTTCGCCCATATCAATGTTATCTGTAGGAGTAGAGACAAGCACATAGACATCATAACAATGGTCATTTAGTGCTAGGAAAACAGTAAAACCGACAGACAGAATAAATAGAGATACAAACCCCCCTCCCTCCCCCCAAAAATAGACCTGACCTACCAGAGGCGCCCTCTAACCACCTGCAAAGAAAGAAATGAGAACTTCTACAAAAGCAAACACCTTGCACTAACAGAAGTATCGAGATGTATAATAATTCACATGGGTACCCCGCTTGCACAGCTGCACACTTTACACTGCAGCAAAATGAAAACAAAACATAAAAACCTCGGCCCGCCTTCTACAACACAGCACAGCACAGAAATACAAGCCCATAGGCTGCGGGGTTATCAACAGTAACACAAGAAGCCCGTTTCTGTCAAGCAATTACATATTACATTGCACTCAGGTTACACTAACTATCCAGATGAAATGAAATAAGAAACAAAAAGAGAAGACTTCTGAAACACCTTGTATGTTCTCTGGTCTTAACTTCTAAAACATTTTATTCGTTTGGTTAGTTGTCAGTGAAAAGATGAGAGGAGATAAAATGGAACCAGACAGAAATGAGCGGCTTATTGTTGAATATTAATGAGGAGGAGGCATAATTTGAGAGCAAAGAGATAAAAAGATAGCAGGGGTAACCAGCACGATCACATATTTGATCTGCAGGATGTTTGGATGAGGCAGAAAGAGAGAACGAAAAGACTTTAGATTTTGGATGCTTTCTCTGGTCTTCTTTTATTTTTGTTGTTTGTTTATTTAATTTAACATTTTATGCTCTTTCTTTAGGGAGTCTCAAAATATTATTTCTGTGGTTTTAGCTTTATTGAATATTTGAATTATCTTTATATCGAATCCTGTAAACATATTTTACTGAAATTAATAATTTTCTATAATAAACATAACACTGTGTTTTTCATGGACAGCATGCGATGATCACAGAATATATTATCATTTTCAACTTTGACGGCTAGTTTCTCTAAATTGTGTTTTTCATTGACAGCACGACA